TCAAGCAATTCTCCAGCCTCAGCCTCCTGAGTAGCTGGGATTATAGGCATGAGCCACCACACCTGGCTAATTTGGTATTTTTAGTAGAGACAGGGTTTCACCATGTTGGTCAGGATGGTCTTGAACTCCTGACCTCAGATGATCCACCCACCTTGGCCTCCTAAAGTTCTGGGATTACAGGTGTGAGTCACCGTGCCCGGCTGTGGAGTCTATTTTTTTTTTTTTTGAGACGGAGTTTCACTCTTGTTACCCAGGCTGGAGTGCAATGGTGCGATCTCGGCTCACCGCAACCTCCGTCTCCTGGGTTCAGGCAATTCTCCTGCCTCAACCTCCTGAGTAGCTGGGATTACAAGCACGCGCCACCATGTCCAGCTAATGTTTTGTATTTTTAGTAGAGACGGGGTTTCACCATGTTGACCAGGACGGTCTCGATCTCTTGACCTCGTGATCCACCCGCCTCGGCCTCCCAAAGTGCTGGGATTACAGGCTTGAGCCACCGCGCCTGGCCGGTGGAGTCTATTTTAATGTTAAGCCTCACTTTAGAGAACAGATAATCCATGACAGAGCAAGTGTAAGATGGCCTGCAGGAACTGAACGGTGATAACAATACACAGGAATCAGAGAAGAAATACGCAAAGTCAGCCTGGGGAATGATGGCGACTACTGGACATATCAGGATGGATCAACAACATGACCAAGTATTAAAACCTGTAGTAGGAACCACTTGTTCAACTGAATGTTTAAAAGCTGTGGTGGTTCTTGGGCATAGATTGAGGAACAAAACTAACCTACATGAGGTTCCTCACATAGGTTAGCATGTAGGTAACTGATCTTTATTATTTTATTTTTTGAGATGGAATCTCGATATGTAGCTCAGGCTGGAGTGCAGTGACACAATCTCAACTCACTGCAACCTCTGCCTCCCAGGTTCAAGCCTCAGCACCCCCAGGAGCTAGGATTACAGGCACATGCCACCCCATGCCCAGCTAATTTTTGTATTTTTAGTAGGGACATGGTTTTGCCATGTTGGCCAGGCTGGTCTCAAACTCCTGACCTCAGGTGATGCATCCACCTTGGCCTCCCAAAGTGCTGAGACTACAGGTGTGAGCCACTGTGCCTGGCTGGTAACTGATTTTTAAAAAAGTAAACACTAGCTTGGCATGGTGGCTCACGCCTGTAATCCTAGCACTTTGGGAAGCTGAGGTGGGCAGATCACCTGAGGCGAGGTGTTCAAGACCAGCCTGGCCAACATGGTGAAACCTCATCTCTACTAAACACACACACACACGCACACACACACACACACACACACACACACACAATTAGCCGGGCATGGTGGCAGGTACCTATAATCCCAGTTATTCGGGAGGCTGAGGCAGGAGAATCACTTGAACCTGGGAGATGGAGGTTGCAGTGAGTCAAGATTGTACCACTGCAGTCCCGCCTGGGTGACAGATTGATAATCTGTCTAAAAAGAAAAAAAAAGTAAATACTTAAGCACAAATTAACCTGTGTGCTAACAGGTTAAAGAAGCTGAGTTAGATGTGACAAAGGTAAGTTTAAAGTGGGCAAAATATGAATAGGAAATTTACAGAGGAACACATCCAAATGGCTAACAAACGTACTGGCAGTCACAGAAATGCAAATTAAAATAGTTAGGCATTAGATTTGGTAAGCGGAGACAGAAAAAAGTTCAAAGGAACTGTAAAACACGCTGTTGTTGGTATGTAGAGAAGAAACTGCTCTCATACCCTGCTATTAGAAATGTCAGGTGTTCCACTCTCTCACGAAACCAATATGGAAATATCTAAAAGCTCTAATACATGTATCCTTTGATCTATTAATCCTACTCTGAGAAACTCAGCCCACAGAAAGAAAAACGCCAATAAGTCAATAAGTGTGCTTGTGTGTGTGTGTGTGTATATATATATATATATATATA